CAGGGTCTCAGTTTCACCTCAGGGTCTCGGTTTCACCTCAGGGTCTCAGGGTCTCGGTTTCACCTCAGGGTCTCGGTTTCACCACTCGGTGAGAAGAGACATGTCATTTTTGTTCAACTCACATGACTTCCGCCTGTTCGCCTTTGAAGTGATCGGCCGAAAGAAATCCTGAGGCTTAGGAGTCACTGTCCAAGCCCGTTTTCTCATCAGCGAGTTTCCCCCTGAAAGGCCTGGCAATTGCCTTGCAAGACCCATTCACATTTGGAGCCTGCTTGTTAAAAGCCGTTGGCCCGAAAGGTGTCCTCCATAGATGAACCGCTGCTCAGGGGTAGGAGGCACGAAAGGCTGTCCTTTTCCGAGTGCCACCATCTTATCGACCAAGCCCAAGCCATCCTCAAGGCAAATGACCTTTTCTGATGTCGAAGGTCCTCCAAAATGTCAAAAATGTGTTGAACATCTGCGAACATCAAATATATAACGTATACATTTAATATCATGTAGACTGTCGACTCTTGAGAAACAACACCCACGGCCTTTTGGTGTGTTTACATTGTTTTGCTATCCATGTTTGGAGGGCTTAATCGAATGAATCAAGAGTTAGAGGACCTCAAAAAGGCACTTCTGACCTGCCCAGCGCCCCAGAGTCTGACCTGCCGCGGCGCTGGCTTGTTGGGCAGTTCACCCTCCCCGGTGCACTTCACGGAATCCACGTAGACGTCGTCACCGCGGAGGCCCCTGCTGGCCACCAGGAGCCTGCAGGGATCTCATGTGATCTCTGTTTCGATTTCAAGTGAAGGAAATGGAAGGCTCTCGTGGCCAACGACTTGGGACTAGTCGCCCGGTGCTAGCCCCGTCCGTAGCGTCCTTGTTGCTAGTTGGGTTCCTTCAGGGGTCCTTCTCAGGTGGTTTCCCCTTGTTTCGTGCCCGCTTCCGTGCACATCTCACCACGCTGGATCCTTCGTTCGGGGCGTGGAGGGGGTCACTCCAAACACTCCGATCCAACAGCTGCAGCCATGGTCGTGTCACGCATGGGACCAGAAGGGAACATCTTCGATTTCACATCGCAAGAGATAATGGTAGATGACCCCGCTTGGAATTTCGGGAGAACGAGATCCTGTAAGGGTTGGAGGTCAAATTAATGGTACACCTGCATATTGTAGAGATCAACCGACTGCGATTCTACAGAAAGACCGGGAAGGTTCAAAAAATGCTGGAACCACATTGGAACTCCTAGATCTCTTGATGCTCCAAATTTTGACGTTCATGGACAATATACCCATGACCGGTTCGCGCAAAAAGGCCGGACTGGTTGTGTACAGCAAAGCCTGTGCCACACGGGCCTTTTTCCGAGATCCTCATTTGTAGTACTATCACGCTGTCTGGTCCAACAGCCCAGCAAAGTGCATTCCTTCACCTCACGATCTTTGGTGGTGCTTGGACCCTTCAACGGGTGGTGCTTGGAACCCCACTGCTTCTGGGCACCGAACTTGATTGAAACGCCCAATCTTGGAGGGTCCGAGGTGTTAAAGCTCATGTCAGACCATAGCCCGATGGATCATGCTTTATCGACCGGGTCGGTGGCAGAGCTGTCCACCCAGACGCGAAGTCCCGAGCGCCCCGGCGGCAGGCAAAAGAACGCGACGAAGCGAGCCATGGCAACGAAGCAGGACGAGACGGCGGGAGGCAAAGCTGATCGGCTGAAAAGGGCTTTCAGAAGGACACACACCGGGAATGCTTGCAGCTAGTGAGGAGAGTGACGATGATTCTTATGTTGAAACCGCATCACCTGCACCTGAAGGTACGGACCTTCCAGAGATGAATCTGTGGTGGAACACGCAGCAAGCTTGGTTTAACCTTTTTATCAAGATTGTTACACACAAGAATCTAGAGAAATCTATAGAGGACACTGCTTTTGGAACTGTGCCCTGTCCATTTGCTAGGGATTTCCTGCACACAAGTTTCTTAAGATCCAATATCATTGATTGACAGGGGCTCAACATAGCAGTTCAATTCTTTCAGAGGCAGACCGTCCACAAACCCAAAGGGGAGGAGCAACTCCTGCTTCAACCCCTACCACCCGCAGCCAAACCAACCAAGAGTCCTCGAAAGACACCAGACTAGACTCTCCCCAAATCCTTCCCAAACAACAACTCACTTCATACCTAGCGCTTCCAAGGGGTGCCCAATGGAGACCTGTAAGTAGTGTGGAGGTATCCATTGGTGACCCCTTGGAAGCAGCTGGTACATTTCCCCCCCAAAAAAAACAAACTGGCCATCTGCTCCTCTCCACGTTTTTTGCACCTCTTGGGTCTTCCGCGCAGTTCCGTCGCTCGCCGTCCCCGGGTCCCTCCGCATCTCCCCGCCTTCGCTCCGCAGGATTTCTTCCGCCGCCGCGGTGTACGAGCTGTGCGGCATCCGGTCCCAGAGCGACGTCATGCCTCCCCCGGTCGGGACCCCCGTCCCCGGAGAACGGGGCGGAGGCGCCCCCCCCAAGGAGCCGGGAGTTGGAGTTCGGGGTTTTGAAAGGATCCCCAAAGGATCCAAAAGGGACAATCAGAATAAAAACCATGTGACTTCACTTTCGAGGGTCTGCCCCACCATGATATTTTCAAGCTGACCACTTGGATGAGCATGCAGTTAAAAAATCAAAAAACAAGGCCATTGACATTGGGTGAGCAGGGGCTGCCGGACACTTGGTCGGGTGCACAAACACGTCCGATGGGGTCAAAGAAGTGCGCCTCGAAATCGCTCCAATTCTGGGAAGGACTGACTGAGCCAAGAGTTGCTAGACTAGAAGGGTGTTAGAATATAGGTATATGGGCTGGTGACTGGCATTGCTCCATTCAGTGCTTATGGATGTTTTTGAGTTTTCAACACCATATTCGGAAGTCATGGGAAGTTGAATCCATCAGACCATGATGTTTTCGAGGCACACGGGGAGACCCTTTCAACAGCCCGAATCCAGAATTAGGATGAAGTAGGAACCGGGAAGTAGTTCCGAGCTGAAGTTCCCAAACGAAGCACAGTTGGGGAATCAAGACCCCCTTCAACCTCCACACGCTGACGCTCCTCATCCAGGAAGAATTCACCGCTTCCACACCCCGGTGTATCCATATCCTCAATCCTCAACTTGGACAGAGATGCTGATGGCCATCTGAGTTCTCAGCAGGTCCTGTGGAGAACTACTGCCCGTGTAGCTTCGCGACGTTCAAACCCTCACGGCGAGAATAGTATAGAATTAATAGTAACTATACTACCTACTGGTGAGTTAGGACTTTGCGCTACTAGTGAGTTAGGAGTTGTGCAGCACAAGGCCTAACTCATGAGGCCAAATCAAACCCCGCCATTTTAGAACAGCAGGTGTTCCATGATGAGATAGGAGTAAACATACAGTCATAGGCTTCTTAGGAGGGAGGGCAATCTGCATTACTGCAACCCTGTTGGCAATATAAAAGGTTATAAAAGACTATAAAAGAACATAAAAGAACATATAAGCAAATATGTTCTTTTAAAAGGTTATAAAAGAATATAAAAGATTATATTTTACGAATGGTGGTTTTGAGAGAAAACCATGAAGAAACTGTTACATCATGGAATCATGCACTGCCGCCAGCTGGTGCCTTTTCTCTTTAAGAGAAATCGGTCCATGCCTTTTGCATGAAAGTCCTTGCCAGTCAGTGACTCCACCAACCAGCTAAGCTTCCACAGAGACGACGTGTCTCAAGAGAGCTAGTTAGATGTTCTTATGGTAGATGTTGCTAGGTTCTCAGTTAGTTGAACAGTGGCCCAGGAGCCCCTAGTAGAGTCCTTTCTGCTAGTAGTAAGACTTAGTTGAACAGTGGCCCAGGAGCCCCTAGTAGCGTCCTTGCTGCTAGTAGTAAGGCCAGGAGCCCCTAGTAACATAGTACACTTCCTTTTTTTACCAACTACTTCGTCCTGCGGCGCTTGCTGCTGGGTGAAGATGGCTCTGCCTTGCTACTCGGCTGAGCTTCACGCAACCCTGTTTCGGGGGTGAACGATTGCAGGATCCTGTCAATCTGCAAATTGGTTGGCCTCGATTGCCGATGTCATGATTTTAGGGGCACCATCTCAAGATAGAATATTCTGAGGTTCTGAGTCCTAAACAAGTCTTAGTAGTAAGTTCGACAGACTAAAAAAGCAGCAACAGCAAGAATCAATAGTTACTCGGCTATTTGAAGTTTCAAGTGAGGGGATCCCTGAAAAGGAATTGAAATGAATTTCCAAGTCACTGAATTTGTTCTGGATGCTTTGGATTTCGCTTTGAGTGAGCTTCCCAGATAAACCGCAAGACCTCACGAAGGGCTTCCTTCTCTGAGAGCATTCGCCGGGGACCATCCCAGGTGCTGCTCAAGGATGCTCGATCACCTGCTTTACCTGAGTGGCTGCAAGATGATGCAAGTGTGCAGCTGGGATGCAATCAATCATTCAGTTGGGATGCAAACAATACAGGGAGTCCACAAGATCTATGTTTGAAGTGATTTCCGCATTCCTGGATAACATGACATGTCATGTTAATACCATTTGAGTAATGTAAGCCCCAAAGTTTGAAATCGAATCCTTTCAGAAAAGAACACCGTGGTTAACCAGTACCAGGGGAAACATGTTCTTACTTGAACCTTGCCTGGTGGGTAGAAGCCTTGATAGGTCTTGCGAGCGCCCGGTAGTCGTTTAATCGTCACTCCTGAAAGCGTGCCCTTCCCAGGAAGCAAAGACTGTAGTACATCCGGAGTGTAGAGCTTTGGCGAGCTCTTTGTATGAATCTCTCTTGGTTGAATTTCTGTCTTTCTCTCAGCTTCAGCTGGAACGGCTGGATCCACCGAAGCTGCTGGCACCTCTTCCTGAGGATTCTCCAAAGTCGGTGTCACGACACGTTTCTGTCGCTCTTTCTGCTCTCTGCAGATTTCTTTCACGTCTTTGAAGTCCTCGCGACTCACTGGGTCTAACTGATCAATGGCATCAAGCAGCTCGTCAGGACACGGGACCACTGAGCCAGCAGAGTTCATGATCCCATCAACCATCCGTTGTTTCTCGGCCTTTGTCTCTTGGCCGTGCAAGAACTCCACAACAGCCCAAGCCAGGTCTAGCTTCACAACGCCGCCGTTTTTCCCTGAGCCAGTCTTTGGCCATGGAACCTTCTTGGCTTTGCACAGCAACTCCAGCTCGGTCCGCTTCAGAAAAGCTCCCCTGTAAACAGCTGCTGCGACGATGTCATCATAGCCCTGTGCAAGCTTGAAAACACAGCAGTGTTCCCGAAGCTCATCTGACCCTGCAACCTGATGCACCAAGTTGAAGTCACAATGCCGCCAAGGACACGCTTCACTCACATCATGGTTGAAGATCCAGTGTGGAAGCGCCCCAGGTGTCCAATCAGCAAAGTCAAAGAAGCAGTATTCCTGCACTAAGCAGACCCACGAATGAGCGAGCTGAATCAAAGAGCTCCTTTTATTAAAACAACAAAACAGAGCAGGTGAACCTAAAGGAGAAGCAGCCAAGACCCTGCTTTACTTTCACTCTTTACTGACTAGTGAATGGTGCCTCGTCACCAACCTTCACATGCTTCATAGGTACCGCCAACGCAGCATAGGCTTTGAAGCCAAGAGAGAAATAGTATTTCTTTTCCTTGAGGTGAAAGAAGACGCAGCCAAGGGTGAGGAAAACTCCTGGAATGAAGGGCAGGTTTGCAATGTGACTTACTTAGCCTTAAAGAATCATAGAGAACCTACAAACACCTGAGTCTGCTATAGCCTGTTTGGGGTGAATGAAGCTCATGAGTGGATCCTTCTGGGTTATTTGAGTGTCGCCTCATGCAGTAGATACAGTAAGTTTAAACAGACTCATAATATAGTCCTGCCCACACCATTGGCAGGAGGTCCCAAGATCCAGAGAACTCCAAAAGCCATGCCGCCGCTGCTGATGCACGTTGGTTCGATTGTACACCAGCAGCCTTGTAAGTAGATGTCAAGCTCTTCGGTGTGAGCTTTGACCTTATCTGCGCAGGAAACGATTTGTCAGTCGTGAAGGTCTTCTTGTAAACAACGCCTGCTGCTGCCTTGAGCTTTTTCAAGGCATGGTGGATCATTGATCCACAATTCAGCCTGAACTGCGGCCATCCAAGCGTGGCCACCACCGGGGTGCTCAGAACATAGAGAAACTTGGTCCACCTCAGGGCAAATGAAAATGTCAACAAGCAGCCAGTGCACAGACAGCAGTCACAAAGACAGTACTAGACATCAGTTGAAAGTCAATCACCACATGCGAACAAAACCCGAAGAGTGGTGGTGTTTGGGGGCCCAACCACAGTTGAAATTTGAGACGAGGTGCCTCTGCATTGTATGGTTTTTGGCATGACGTCTGGAAATATCTGCGACGTGGTTGAAAACATCTTCCAGCAAATACTTTGTATTGGCAAGCCTGCCAAATACAAGCCAGCTGAACAGGCGCAGCTCAGGGTCTGTCCTGTTGTAATCGCACTGCTGACATATTGCCATGCCTTCCCTGGCCAGCTGCAAAGCGTTCCATGACAAGTCTTTGAGCAATCCTTGAAGTGCAGACAGCAACTTCTTGTTTTTCAGGGGCACTGTGTATGCAGCATGCTCTGCAGCCAGCACAGCCTTCACCAGATCACGCGCGCGTCCAAGACCAGCATCGCGGGCAATGTGGGTGCGGTGATGCACGCATGCCAGCAGCTGGGGCATCATCATCACGAACTGCATCTGGGACCATGCTCGGAAAGCACAGAGCGTGACCAGGAACGTCAGGAACTTGCGTAGGATCTTCCTTTCCTCGTGAACCCATGCCTCATCGCACCCTTCTGTAGGAACAGCAAGTGTCACGCCGAGGAATTCCACGGTCGTGCTGTCATGAAGCAAGCTCAGTGTCTCCTGGATCGTCTTGTAAAAAGCGCCAGAAGAGCGGTCAGCTTGCCATCGAATGCAATCAACCTTTGATCAACTCGAATGTTGAAACGGTCAGAGCTTCAAGCCAGATTATAGTAGCATAGTAACTACAGGCTAGGTCATGGCTAGTAGTTTCCACCAGTGAGTTCATTGAGGATGACTAAAAAGGTTCAGGCTGACAGGCTAGCAGCAGTAGTTTCCACCGGCGGTGAATTCATTGAGAATGACTATAAATTAAAAGGTTCAGGCTGACAGGTCAGATCATTATTATGACTCGACAGGATGGGAAAAATAACCCACAAATCAAATGCTGTTATGTTGGTTAGCAGCTTGCCCAAGTTTCTGCTCCTTCAAGGCGTTCTGATACTCTCTGAACAAGGGGTCTGCACCCAGATAAATAATTCTCATCTCTATTTGGACCCATCGTTGGTGGTAGAACAGGGCCGCTACACGCAAGTTGGACTTTAAGCGTGCCTGCAGTTCCTGAAGCTCAGCCCGGGTTTGAGGCTCTGCAGCTTCGGGAGCGACCCGACCACCCTCGGCCTCGCCATCGGCTTCTGCAAGTTCTGCCACTGGCGCCAGGTCAGCTGACTCCTGGACAGCAGAGGGGTTTGGCAGCGGAAGAAGCGTTTGTCTCACCGGGTTGGTTAGGCAATTGGCTCACGGTGTATGGAATTAGTGTCACCTGCCTGTCCAGTCCTGGTGTTGGTGAATCACCCAGGGGATCAGTGGTCCAGTGGGGTGGTTGAACATGGATTGAATGGTAACAATGTTAGTTTTGCAGTAATTGTACTAAGCTATAGAAAGTTGTAACATTGTCGTAATCCCATGAATTAATTAGGGGATCGAAGACTTCAGAATACTAACCTCAGAATGGAATACCTCTTTACTAGTGGATACTGTTGGGTTTCATATCACTGGTCCTTATCCACCCCAAGCCGCCCTGGCCCTTGCCTCAACTTTTCCTTGGGACTGACACAGTGGTGACGTTAAGGCAGTGCTCTGTCTTTGAAACTAGCACCACGACAACAATTCCGATGATCCTCCTTCAGATCAGTGGGACAAAACCAAAACACAGTCTATGTGTCTGTCTATGGCGTTACAACGGACGGCCAAGTCCAGCCACAAGCCAAAAAAGCTCCGGCCACAAAGAACTCATGACTCTTAAAGTCGTCATGTGGCCAATTCAATTCCGAGATGGGCTCAACGGTCAGATCACTCTGATCAGATGATCAGGCTGCTGCTAAGGCAGGTC